TAAACTGTTTTACGTTACAGTTTTTATAGTTAGAAATTAATGGATTATCGGAAACAAACAATAAGATAGTTATACGATTCATGCCAGTTGGTAGTAAAATTTTAATAACTGTAAGTGTCACATTAATTCGAGTTATAGTAAAAGTTATGTTGAGAAAGCGACGAACTATTACTATGAGTAACGTTAAAGCTAAGTTCAGCATTTGAAATCTTAATTTTTGCAGAATGGATTGATTAAAATATTTACATGTTTTTTCTTTATAACTTCATGGGTATAATTTAAAATAATCCAGTAGACTTAGTGCTTAAGACTACGGTTATTACCATCTGTTGTACAATAAAAAAAAATAAAAAAAATCAACGGTCTCATAATTGCATGGACAAGTATAATAATATTTAATATAGTAAATGTGTATCCTGGAAGGAAGGAAGTTTCGCGAGAATTATACGTTTGTCGTGTTAGCTTCCGTTGAGCAATTGTTTTTAGTAATGAAAAGTTAAAGGGCAGTTAAACTGCTTGAGTTGTTGCTGTTTAATGTTAGTCTTCTTAGATCTTTACTTTGGTAAGAATGTACTAAATAAGTAAATTTGAAATTGACAGTTTAGTATGCAGCGTAAATGAAAAACATTTAATTTTACTGGAAAGTTATACTTATTGTTAATTACAATTTAGTGAAGAACATATGAAATTTTAATTTAATAGCTATAAACTAAAGTTAACCCTTACGCTTTTATTTTTACTTAGTTTAAGTCTTAACCCAAAATTCTAATTGTATTTAGAAAGAGCAGAGTTCATATACACTAAAATCTAAATATTGCATTAATACTAATAGAGTAATATTTGAGAGTAATACTTTTGCTAAGGTCCCTATTTCGTACATTTGTTTTATATGTGTGTGTGTGTTTTCATGCTCTGTGTTGTCTTAGTTTGAGCTTATATATGTGCCTTCATCCCTGTAATGAATCTACCAAAGTCTTTAGTTGTCAAAAATGTAAATATGGAATCTCATTTAAAGTTCTATAAAAGTATAAAGCACCTGTGATCTGATGTTGTGTAGAGTTGGGCAGTAAGTGGAATTTGCCAATCAATTAATTGCCTTGCTCATTAATCAGTTATTTTCAAGTTTCAACTATTTGATTGGTCTCACAAGATATCAAAAAAGTTATTCTCATGAGTTGACAAAGGAAAAACTTTATATTGCTACAAATCAGGTGTAAATACCTATGATTGGCAAAGCACAGATAGCCTAATGTGTAGCTTTGTGCTTAACAACAAATATAGTTGTAATAATAAGAAAGTCTAATTTTGATTGGTTAGTTACCTTTGTGAATCATAGTACTAATCAGTTAAGCAGAACAAACTTTATTCAAAAATAATAATGAAAAATCATAATTGTAATATTTTGATTACTACCAAATACTGGATATTTGGAATGTTATAAACATTAATAAGACTAGTTGATTATTTTGTGACATTAATCAATTTAATGGTAGTTTTGATTAATTGATTATTTTACATGACACTAATCAGTGCTCATGGGTGATCGATTTATGGCCCAACTCTACTGTTGTTTATTGCTTATGAATTGAGAATATATTTTATCTAAAATATGAATTAATATTTGTACTTCAGTCATAATAGCATATGAATCTGGGTTTATAAAGCTGAAAACTGTTTTGCAATGAATACTTTGATTGTTGTAATTGCTATGATTGTACAGAATAGAAAAATTTGAATGAATTTAGTATCTGTTTCTTTTACTTAGCTTTTTGAATCCTTCTATGCCTCTCTCTGATGTTCTGCATTTTACATTTGCAACATAACAGTTTTGAGTCTTTTTAACTTTCATATAAAACACTATTCATTTTATGTTTACGGTGAACTTTATGGGTATGACACTTTTTTTTTATAACTGTGAATATAATGGAAGGGACAAGTTAAAATACTGATATGTGATATAATTTTGAGATGTTTTGCATCTATTCAGAGCACTAATTCAATTTTTTTTAAGTTGGGCAAGAGATAATAGTATTACTATGTTTACCATTTCTCTGCTTGGTCATAAAGTCTGGTGGCTAGACTAAGCCACTGTATTTATTTGATTGTATACAATATTCTGAGTGATAGGTTTATGAAATAAGAAAGAAGTTTCTGTTTTGAAAAACAGTTAACAATTGTTTGATTTGAAAAATATAAAAACATTGAATGTGTTGCAATTAATCATAATACTATAGGTACATATATTTTTACAACAACTGATAAATTTGACATATGGGTCAAACAAGCTGTGGCATAATGACATTGTGAGAAATCTACTAGATGCAAAAAAACTGAAAAATTGCTACAAAATAAAAATTCTACACAAATCAAATTGGAATTTGCTTTGAGTTTGTGCATAATGTATGTGTTTCATTACCAGTTGCTATAAAACTACAATTAGTATATTTCACTTCACATAATGGTAAAGAAGTTATAACAACAAATGTTATTTGAAAACAAAGTGTATAACTGTGGAAAAGTCAGTTAGCTCTATCTGACACCTGAAATGTTTTAAATCATGATTTTTTTTATTCCCATATAAAGCTACTTTGGTTGACTAGGATTTGAGCACTTTTGTCCCAGATTATGTAGAGCTGAGAGATTAATTGATATATTGATTACAATGATGATAAATGAAGATAATAAATTAATCAAAATTAGTGTTTCTGATTATTACTGTTTTCAGTTATTCCAACAAGCCAAGTAATTGAAATATTCTCATTATTATTTTCTATTAATTCAAGATTGTTCAGCTTAATTAGTGTCAAAACTCTCTCAAATAATCAACTAATGAAAATTAGCCTTTCTGATCATTATAATTCTTGATTATTACAACTATCCAAAGTTAATGTAAGAACAATTGATTAGTTTAGTATAATCAATTAATGAGCTCAACTTCCTCTAATTGCTTAGCTCTACTCTGATATCCTTCAAGGAAATTTTTTCTAAAACTGTCTCATAAAGTTGTCAATTAGCTTGCTTATTCACATAAATGAATTAAATTTTTATTTGCTTTTTTTATCTTTCAGAAGGAAACAATGGCTAGCATATCTTCAGCCATAAAACATATAAAACTTTTGGATGGTGGATTTGCAACAGAATTAGTGAACCTTGGTTTTCAATTAGATGTAAGTAATCTAGTTTTGCTTTTGTTTTTTTTTTTTTTTGTAAGTCATTTAATATTTTTGCCTTCATAATGCGTATGGAAATTTTGTAATATTGGGACTTGATTTTTTGTTTCCATTACCAAAGATCCTATTTCATTAAGATGGTTCACTTGGTCTTAAAAGTGATCAGGCTAATTGCAGCACTTGAAGTGGCAGGTTTCATAGCAGACGACTGTTCTGCTCTTGACTGCTTGCTGCCGAAGCAGAATGCTGTATAAAGAACCTCTGGGATATCATTCCCAGTTTTGGTTTACATGTTTAATAAACATACTAATTATTAATTACAACAATTTTTCCTCATTTGAAATCAAAAACATTTCTTCATTTCTTCCTAATATTTTTGTATCCCAAATTTTCTTATGCACTTAACTCTCCCAGCAATTCATCACACTGATGAAAAATGTTTATCAAGAGACAGCATGATAACTCATTTTTGACACTATACTTAAGTGCATTATCAACAGGTAAAGAGAACAAGTAATTCAAAATTGTTAATCTAAAAAGTGGAATAGGGATCTTCAAAAAAGTACACAAACAAGTTGAATCAAAATACAAATATTATATTTTCAAGCCTACAACTAGGGGCTCTAAAAAAGTAAACAAACTAGGCTGGAATTAGCAACAACATTATTTTCTCAAGGTGCAAGTCCCTATTTTGACTTCACTAAAATTGACAAGTCAATGGAGTCAAAATAGAGATTTGTAGCTTGAGAAAATAATGTAGACACTATTTCCAGCCTAGTTTGTTTATTTTTTTAGAGTTCCTAGTTGTAGGCTTAAAAGTATAATCTTTGCATTTGATTCAACTTCTTTCTGTACTTTTTTTATGATCCCTATTCTCCTTTTTAAATTAACAGTTAATTATCTTGTTTCTTAAGTTTTTAAAGTCCATTTATGGAGAATGAATTTTAAGCTGCATTCGTGCATATGCATTCAGTTGAATGTTACATGTTTTTCAAAAGTTTACTGCTGCATTGGCCTTATTTTCCACCCAACCATTATTTACTGAGCCAAGTGGTTTTGTGCCTGAGGTTTCATGTAAACATGCGTTCAATAAGTGTCGAGTATAAAGGAAGCTACTCACAACAACAATGCATGTATTATGTATTTATAGCCACATAAATCAACTTTTAATGAAAAATAATCACCATCTTTTATAAACATGGTCATTTTCAGCATTTCATATAGGTTTTGGTGCAAAATACCCAGCCAATTTTGCTGTAGGCTTGTGAAACAAAAATGTGAATAATAATAAAATACACACTCACAATTTCAGCAAAATATGAAAATTGGTAGAATAAATCATCACTCACAAGAGTAGAGAAATCTACTATGGTAATTGTCTACTTTGAGAAAACTCACTGAAATTGTCGTAGAAAACCACGTAGACACAAAATATAACAGCAAACTTGAGAAGTGGTGAATCCTCAACATAACAGTTTTCAATTAATGTACTATAAGTTGCACAAATTATTTTCCAGTTAATGTGCATTAGTAAAACACCAGATTTTTTTTCAACAACTGAAAGTGAAGGACTTAAGAGAAATTCCTCAAGGCAAAAAAACAAAAGTGCTTGAATTAATTTAGAACTACTCTATGACATACTTAATACTTCATTCATTATTATTGGCCAAGTTTCAGTAAAATATTCATAGCCATTTTTTTGTAGCAGCTTGTAAAGCTATAATGAATAAAATTAAGGCTGGAGGCTTTGCTGACTAGTATAATGGTGCTTAAATAGCTTGTACATTTCTGTGACACTTGAACAGCTTCAAAGAGCTTATATTGGTAGCAAAGAAGAACTTAGAAAATTTTAGAGGGTAGAAATCTCAACTTTAAAATTATCAGCTTAAAAATAGCCCTACAACCTTAATAGGAATTTGTTTAGTATCTGTGCACAGATTTTGGCACAGTATACCTAGCCATTTTTATTGTAGGCTTTGATACTTGAATGGCTTCTAAGAGAAACTTAGCCATTAGTGATGGAAAAAAAAAAACTGGTAAAATCTCTTCCAAGAATCATCATAAAAATAGTCCTATGACTTGCACAGGAGTTTTTTTAGTAGGTTTGTCCAGGTTTAAATAAAATATTCATAGCTGTTTTTTCTGTAGGCTTGGGAAACAAGAACAACATGAATAATAATATAAAGAACAAATGGGTGAATTTTGTTTAACAATCAGAAAAACAATTTTTTTTCTATTATCAATATTTTTGCAGCCTTGGCTGTTGAGATAGAAGGTCTTAGGTGTTGTTGCAAGAACAAGTCTACTTGTTAAGATGGTTTTTGCCTGTATGTTCTATTAGAATTTTGATAATGATTTTCCTCATCGTCTACTTAAATAATGTTCTAACATTACTGGTGTTTCAGGGGTAGAAAATTCTCAAAATTTTAACACTCCTTGTTGGGCATGTAGCACTAAATTTTGCATGCCTAACACAGAATTTTATGTTCCTCAGGTATGAAACTAAAAAAAAAATGAACACCTCACCCTACTTTAAATTGTCCAATTTTCTGCTTGTGGTGATTTCTGAAGTACTTGCCCTATTATAATAAGAAAAATGGGCTTTCAGTTTCAGAAGCTTTGGCTTATGGTATTTAAGAAATATCATTTCAAGGTGTCACTTGGCTTCACAAGAATAGATCTTCCAGTTGAAATGCAGCTTTAGATTCTAGTACCAGTACAATTTCTAATGGTATGACAGTTAATGTTTTTGGTTTGGATTTTCATTCTATTTTAAATGTTTATATATTTATTTGCCACAAATATAAAAACATGTCAATGAATGTTTGTTTTATTTCTGTGTTAAAAAACAAGAACACTACATTTCCATGGTCTCTAAAACTTTAGTTTAAGCTTTTGCAGCACTATTTACTCTTTTTCAGACTGTTATTCCAGACAGTTAAGTATAGTTTTAAATGTTCATAAGAATTTTTACAATAGTGTTGGAGCTGTAAGAGTTGTATCTATAACTGCTCTGCTACAGAAAGGTATTGTGACCAACCAAGAGAAATGAATAATCAAAATCAAGTAATTTTATTAATTAGACAAATACATACTCAGTCAAAGTAAAAACTTAATAATTTGGATATTATTCAAGTAGCTTAAATATAAAGTCAAACAACATAAAAATTTAAATAATATCACATTATATTGTGAAATGAAACTTTTATAAGTTATCAGTTATTTAACAACACTATTCAACTTGTCCAGACAAGCCACTTAATGCTTTATTTTTACATTGATGGTATGTTGTATAAACATATTTTCAGTATTTTTTTGCATGGAATAAGAGAGATTTCCACTGTCAAAACCTAGTACTTTGGATTAATCAATGTTCAACCATATAGTCCTAAAGCAACCTGAATAGAAAAATAAGTAATTCTATATTATAAAGGTTTTAATTATTATAGTTTTACCTTACAAAGTTTGAATAGATAATAAGAAAACACATAGAGTAATTAGATAATATTAGTTTTAATGTGTTGACACTCCCAAGTTGGATTGTGGACTAATGAATCACTCCTTATTGCCAAACTTGCATGGTTTTTTTTGATACATGCCTGTGGAACCACACATACCATAGAACAGCTTCCTCCATTAGCCATCTTGCATGTGATATCACAAAACTTCCTGTTTCATTCAACAATGCCATTTTGGACATCAAATATTCTTTTCTACAATTCACATCAATATATAACTTAGTAAAGCTTTACATGCTGTCAGTATGGCATAAATGTTGCTTTTGGCAAAATATACAAATCCAAAACTATGAGTTTTCATTCTCTTGATATATTTTGTTTACACTTGTCTCTAAGATGACTTACAGCATCAGATAAAATTATGTTAGGAAAATAATTTGTCATTTTTTACCTAATACAATTTAAGCATTTGATATCTAGTATGGCAGAGTAAATTACAGACCATGCAAGTCTTGGACATCAGTGCAAGACCTCTTGCAGCTTGAAAAAAAATTCATATGAATTTGGTTCTGAAATATAAAATATGCTAGGATTGCTTTGGTTGCAAATACTATGGTTTAAATCTGTAATAATATTTACTTGCAATAGTTTTAGGGCACTAAGTATTTTGAGGTGAACACTTTGGGCATGTAATATATTTTTTCACAGGGCCTGTTGAATTTTTTACATATCCTAGGCAATATAATTATCGAACATTGTTTGACGCTTGTGAGGAGTGTAATCAATTAACCAATACAGAGCAGTAAGTGTATAAAATGTGTTATCACATTAGTTACACTCTACTTGAAGGCCAGGTGGCACCATACCATAGAAACATCTATTTTCTTAATTCTGAAAGCATTTGTAAAGTGTAATATACATAGTAATTATCACCACTGTATCACATTAAATGGTCTAACAAACAGCTAATCCTACATATCAATAATTTTTCCATTGAATCACCTGTTTGTATTCATAAATTTTAATAGTGTATTTTCTGACTGTCAAATATGGAATAATACTATACTTTGTAGTTCTACTTTTGTTTACTACAAACAATTTCCAGTGTCTGATGCCTTTCTTCCTGTATTATGCACTATTGTCGTGATACCACAAGGATTTGTGTTACAACTCATAATCTTCTTGAAACATTAACCATTAAATGTGATCATTAATTAAAATAATACACTCTAAAGAATAAACAGTATACAGATATTATATCATCTTTAGAACATTAACCATTATATGTGATGATTAATTAAAGTAATACACTCTAGAGCAGTGTTTCACAACCCAAATGCTACTGTGCCACAGTAGATCTTTTGAATATTTCACTGCACCCTGGTAACATTAGTTACTATATATTCGTACAACATTTCGCGTCCCGGCAAATAATTATCCGTGACCCATTATAAGGTTGCACCCTGGCGGTTGGGAGACACTGCTCTAGAGCATGAAAGTATACAGATATTAGATTAATTCCTCCATCTATATGATCTTATATTAAAAAAAGAAAGAAAATTGTTCCTAATTGTAAGCTACAACCTTTGGTACATTTAATAAAGTGTGTGGTTAAATAGGTGGCTAGGTAAGTTATATTAAACCATCTGCCAAATGGTGCAGTTGAAATTGCATTATGTTTGTCAGATAGGGAATGGGCTGTTTTCACAATATAGCAGCTTTGTTCCGTACATAAAAGTTTACAAAAATGATACAGAAATTTTTCCATAAACTTATTTGCTTATAAGAGTTTGTTTAACTCTGGAGAAGTGAGTTATATGCTTACAAGAGTTAATTTAATTCTAGAGAAGTAAGTTATACATTTCACAATACTACCAGTAGTTAAATAACTATAACTTTGAAAGAAAAATGAAACATATATTATTAAATTAATATTGTAATTGCAGGATGATCCTTTATGGAGTTCTCGTGTACTGGCAACCAATCCTCAGTCAATTGTAGAGGTCCATAAAAGGTAAAACAATAAAATAATATGTTTTGTTATACCATTATATTGTATCAAAAAGTCTTGTTATACAATATTTTATATTCACTGTTTTTATTGAAATGATTTTTGTTTCAATTAGAAAGGAGTCAACTTTTATAAATTTCTAAATAGGACCATACATTTAAAAGGAAAGTGGATTTTTTTGTTTCAAGATACAGTTTTCTTAAGGGATTATGTATTAAAATTTCATTAAACATAATTTACAATCTCATATTGTTACTATTTTTGTGATGGTGTTTTGTGTTTTCATTCTTCATAAACATTAACAAACAAGCCTTGAAAATGCTGCCAGAATTATCCATTGACCATTGGATTACCTTTTTTCCTTTAAAAAAAAGGCTTATTTATTAGGTCATCAAGAAATTAATGTCACATTTTGGAGCACTTTCATTAACCACCCCCAAAAAACATACACCATGTATAATAGTTAATCGAACCGCCTAAACATCACATTAGTACAGCCTATGTAATGTGTAAAGTTTAGTATTCTTTACTCCCTTGTAGTGATGGCACACATTCAGCATGTAATGCTGTTTGAATACAAGAAGGGAAGCAACACCTCTATAGCCACAAAGAATATCAAAGA